ACAATACAGCTAATTCTATGCTTTCATATCGATGCTTTTGTCTTTTATCTTGATTTCTATACCCATAGTTGTTAAACTTATCTTTTTTTAACTCATCTAAAGTTATTATATTTTAAAAAAGTATAATTTATTATAAGCCAAGTTTATCCTATAAGTTAATTTAAAATTTTACATACCATTTTTTCTCTAGAAATTCAAGTCATATATATCATCATCATACCATAGGATGTCAATAAAAAAAATAAAAAAAAACACATTATAAGTAAATGATATAACTAGCTTAAATCACATGTGAATAAGTAGTGGTTTTTTATGTGATTTCGTTGTGATTAATTATTCTGTGCGGATGCTGAATGTTGTCCAGAGATCAACCAGAATGAGTCATGCCGCCCTTTATTGGTACCGCGGCTCGGTACTGGTCGGTACCGCGGTTCGGTATAGTTGGCATGTTTCCATCTAATTTGCCTATGAACGTAGAGCTATTTCCGGCCTCTAATTTCTCTTCCGTTGTAACATATGTCCATGCTCAAATAGGATTTTTTTGTGTGTAAATTTACTGATGTAAATCATTACTCCTTACAAACCTTTTAATACTGTTTTGAAGATAAAAAGATGTCAGATCAGTGGATATTGAGTGTGTTAATTTCTATTTTTAAAAATAAAGGTGATGCACAAGAGTGTGCGAATTATAGAGGAATAAAGTTAATGTGTCATACTTTAAAACTATGGGAGCGAGTTATGAAGCGTAGGTTGCAGTGTGATATATACTAATGTTTCTCAAAATCAAATTGGATTCATGCCGGGTAGGTCTACCATGGAAGCCATACATTTATTGATAGGTTTGATGAAGAAATATATAGAGAATATATAAGGAGGATCTACATATGATATTTATTGATTTAGAGAAAGCATATGATAAAGTTCCAAGATAAGTGTTATGGAGAGTTTCCTTTCGAAAGGAGAAGATTTTACACCAATCATCTCTTCGAGATAACTTCTTTTCTTATACTGGGACAACCTCCTATCTATGTCCTCACTTAAAACATTTTAAACAAATATGAAAATAAAATGATATAAATAACAACCTAAAATGAAAGGTAATTTGACGACATGTTGATCAAACATTGAAGGGGAAACTCACGACAAACAAGCTATTTGATTTCATCACAATTTTAATGAGAGAAAACGTGAAGAAATTTTCATAGAGAGAGGCAGTGGATAGTTTCATGAGCAAAATTAGGATTTTTGAAGAGGGGGCTCAATATCGCAAAGGTTAAAAAATTTTTGGCTTAAGGCTAGAAAAATATATTTATATGCCAAACTTAGGAACTTTTATTTGGTCCGGTCACATGACGTAGCTCTATATTCGGCCGCCAGTAGAATCGCGCCACGCCTTCTCACTATTACCGCGCACCCCGAAAACCCGACTCGGAACGGACCCAGGATGGCTCGGTATTTCTCGATTTTGCTAGGTATTACTTAAGATTGCTAGGTATTGGTCGATTTTGCTCGGCAATAACCAATACCGAGCAATACTGAGCAAATACCTAATAATACCGAGAAATACCGAGTTGTACCGAGTTTTTCTAGAAAAACTCAGTACTACTCGGTATTGCTCGGTATTACTCGGTATTGGTCTTCACAGAGCAGTATTTTTCGTTATTGCCAAGCAATATCTAGCAATATCGAGCAATACCGAGCAAATACCGAGTAATACCTAGCAATACGCAAACATAGTATTCCCGGGTTTCGGTTCGGGTCAAGTCGTCGGGCCGCGCGGTAAAGAGTAAGAACATGCGGCGACTTGTTATTGGCGGCCGAACGTAGCTCTACGTCCGGTCAGAGGACGTAATAATTGTTCCAAACTTAGGGCTTTATTTTAGAATTAAAAGTAATTTAAAACTTAGGTTATTATTTTAGAAAACGAAGTAATTAACAATGATAAAGATGATTTTTGAAAAATATATATATTGAAATGAAATATGAATATGACATGAATGCAATATAGCAAAAAGAAATAAGACAATTTGCGTTATTGATAATATTTTTTAGCAAAGTATTAATATAAAACAGTAAGTCAAATCAACTAATTCTAATATTTTATATAAAAATTGTAGCTTAATGAAAAATATAATATGATATGTATTACTTAAAAAAGTAAGGATCAAGAACTGAAATACAAATATTAATTTAATTATAATTAAATTTAGTATTTAGTCAAGTGCTCTAAACTCCTAATAAAAGAATAACATAATTGTTAAATAATTTTATGCATTTAGAAATTGTCAAATCTCATTCTAATTTAAATTTTGGAGATTCAATGCTCATTCTACTAATTTCAGTTATTAACGTGCTCCTTTATAAAATTTGATCTTTATAGTGCACATGGATAGTTGAAATAGCAAAGAATGACCCTCCTCATGAATTTTGTGAACAATCCTTTTTATTTCATAGTTTTAAAATTTTAAATATTTTCAATGATAAGTAGTAAATCATAAATAAGTGATTTAACCATTAATTACTAGACCACTTCTTTAACCATTAATTATAATTTCTTTCATTTGAAATATTTCACACATAACCTCGTTGATGTTTAATTTTCTGCTATATAATGTTAATTTCAAAAACATATAAAATGAAATAATTCCTACATAAAATTACGTAAATTTATTACTAATCTATTTAAAAAATAAACATAAGTATAACCTAAAATTAACTGAAAGTATTGACATATTTTTATGTTATTTATTATGTATAATAACTGTGCAATGTTTGCTCTGCTAGGATTTTATCTCATTTTTGGCGATCGTTGCGTGGGTGATCTCTGCCGCCGGATTTGTCTCAGGGAAGTCACTCTTCTCTAGTCTCTAGTATTTTGAGTGTTTTGTTTTTCCTTATTCGGCATTAATGGCATTTACCCGGCTTCGTGACTCGGATTTTTTTGAATGAAGCTTTTCCGGCTCTTTCGTTTAAAGAGGCCTTGTGTGGGCCTTCTTCTTCTTTGGTGTCTTTTCCTGATTTGTGAATTTATTCTCACCGTGGTTTACCGACATTGTTGATTTCGAAGGAGGAAATTTTCTCGCTTGCTGCTCCGTTTGAATTTGCTTTGGTCGATAAGTTTCCTGGCAAGCGGTCATCCATTGATGTCATTCAGAAGTTTTTCTTCAACTTAAAACTCATTGGCGATTGTTCGGTCAATGTTATTAACCCTAGAAATATTTTGATTAAGCTTGTCAATGATTTTGATTAATGTAGAATCTTCTCTCACCGATCTTATTTTTGAATAACTGTTACATGAAAGTGGTTAAATGGTCCCCAAATTTGGATGTTGAGGTCCATTCCCCGATTGTCCCCATATGGATTTCGTTTCCCTATCTTACGCCTCATCTTTTCTCGCCTCGATTTCTCTTTGGGTTGGGTTCACTGTTCGGCCGAATGTTCATATCGAACATCGCCACTGCATCTAGTTCCCGTCCTTCAGTTGCTCACATCCTTGTTGAATTAGATGTCACCAAAAAATTTTTTGATAAAATTTGGGTGGGTTCGCCTAATTCCGGCTACATTCAATCAGTGAATTTTGATGATATTCCTCACTTTTGTATGCATTGTAGTTCTTTAGGCTACTTGAAAGATGATTGCCGTGTTTTCCTCATCTTAATACTGCTACTAAATCTACTTCTGCTCCGTGTGCGTTGCCTGGGGTGAATATGGTTAATGCGAGTCCTGTTTTGCCTGTGGCGGAGGTTGATGTTAATGCGCAGGTGACTGCTGACTTAGGTAATAACATAGCGAATGTTGAAAACTTTGGATGTTGCCTGTGATGCTTGTCCTTTGGCTTTGGTCGCTGAGGGCTTGGTTGTTGGTAATTTGCTTCCCTCCCCGTCTGTTCCTATCGAGAATGCTGGTTGTGGTGGGGAGTGAGGTGATTTTGAGGGAATTGATTTCTCCTTTGGTACCTTCTCATTATGCCTCAGTTTGGTGATGTTGGATATATGAATTGTCATACTAATCTAAAAGCTAACTTTTCTTTGTGGGGATGCTGTGCCTGGCCCGACAGATTTGTCTGTGGAGGTTAATTTCAGAGAGTTTGTGCCTGCTGAGCCTGTGATGGTTGTTTATGGTGTGTCTTCTCCTATCAATTCTATGGTACATAGTAGTGTTGTTTCGCATGTTACCAGTGTTATTCTGGGAGGATCAACATCTTTTATTAATGTGCATTTTACTGTTGTGACAAATAGTGAATTGAAGTCTCAGGTAGCTAAATCTGTCAAGAACACTATTTTGGTGCAAAATGATTGGCTTATTCTAAGTGATTCCCTCTCTTTGTCTTGGGGGGGGGGGATCAAGAGGATTTTAGTGAATGCGAGTAGGTTGTGCCTGTTAAGCTTGCTAACCTTAGTCGTTCTAATGGTGGTAATAAGCGCAAACATAAAGGTAAAAAGAAATATGCTCGGGCTCTTTCCTATTTGCTTTTCGGCGTTGGATTTTGACGGCATTGTGGACAATGATGAGGAAGCCCCCAACTTCCCCTCGTTGGATTGATTGGTTGGCAACCGAGGTGATTTGGACTTTTGCTTGGAAGTTTGGATTTTGTGGGGTTTTCACCTGTGGATGTTCCGTGGCTAGTCGCGAGGCTGGTGCAGGGGGCTTCCATTCTTGAGTCCGGTTATTTTTATTTTGCTCTCATTGTATTGCCTCGTAACTTGTTGTATGTGTTGGGTATTTTTGCTATGTTGTTGCAGTGGCTCTGGCTTAGAGATTGATTACTTGAATAAATGGTTTTTTTTTGAGAAAAAAAATATTTTTTATGTTATTTAAAAAAAATTAAAAAATAAATAAAAATAAATAAAAAAAATATTTTTATGTTATTTGTAGTTGGCTTTTTTTTAAAAAAAAATTAAATGAATTTAATTGTAAGAAACCTTCATAATGATGTGTTGATTTTGAATTGGCAAGCTTTGATTTTGTACTTTTTATCCAATTTTAAAGGAGGATATTATATAGGATCAAAATTGCAATTTCCAAAAGATAGTAATAGTACAAGATATAGAGCCCTCCTGCACCGAAGAAGTCGCTGGTGCCGGGTTGTATGTTTTGTTCTCTTTCTCGATTGGGCCAAGTCTCGTTACGCTTCGGTTTTATATGTTCCGTCTTCTTGTATAAATATGCCTCCCATTTCATACGATCAAATCGTGCTAAATGGCGAAGGGCATTTTATCAAGACTCTTCTCCTGCGCCAGCCCCCACTACATAGCTGGCAGCGGCAGCGGCGGTGGCGGTAACAGCAACAGTAACAGAGACGCTAGCACCTCGCCGCAGCACAGTCTCTCTTCAAGTCTTATGGACGAGAACATCGCCTTTGGCGAGTCTATCATTACCAAATGGGACTCCGACTCGTCCGACTACGCCATGCTCACCTCCCTCTTCTCGGATGGCCACGGCGATGCCGCCCGCTTCCTACGGGCAGTCGCGGACCTCCGTCGCGCCATGCTCTTTTACTTCTCCCCAGATTGCCCCGATCCTTCGTCCATCCGCGTCCAATCCCTCATTCGCGCACAAAGCCTAATGCAGTCCGCCATGCGCAGCCTCGAGAAGGAGTTTCACCGCATCCTCACAGCCAATCGTCACCGCCTTGACTCCGTTTCCCTCTCCTCCTCATCCTCATCTTCAGACGACGATGAAATCGGTCTTTTCTCATCTAACGCCATCGCCGACCTTCGCTCCATCGCTGAATCAATGATGGCCAACGGCTATGGCATGGAGTGCGTCCGGATCTACAAGGTCCTCCGCAAGTCGATTCTCGAGGAAGACCTATTTCTCCTCGGATTTGACATCCGCCTTCCCTACTCCAATTTCCATAAGATCGATTGGCCGGTCCTCGACATCAGGATCAAATCCTGGCTCGCCGCCGCTCGGATCTCCTTCCCCGCCCATTTCGCCGCGGAGCGCCTTCTGTGCAGCCAGGTCTTCGATTCCTCAGACTCGGACGATCTCGATCTGACCGAGTCCTGCTTCGCCGATGTTGCAAATGCCGCCGCCCTCCAGTTTCTCTCTTTCCCTGAATCCATCGCGAAAACCAAACCCTCCCCCGAAAAGCTCTTCCGCATCCTCGAGCTTCACCAGGCGCTCTCCGACCTCTTTCCACAAATTGAATCGACCTTCTCCTACGAATCCACGGCATCGGTAAAGGTAAAGGCGCTCGAAACCCTCCAAGCCCTAGCCGAAGCAGCTCGCAATTCGCTCGCGGAGTTCGAGGTTGCCGTTCAGAAGGAATCGTCGAGGATCCTTATTCCCGGCGGCGGGGTCCACCCTCTCACCCGGAACGCGATGAACTTCCTCGCCTCCCTCGCTGATCACGTGCCGGCACTCATCCATGTCTACGCCGGCGTCCCCTTCCGCCCGCCGGAGCCGCTGCCGGAGATCTCTGCTCCGTGCCCATCGACAATTGTGCCGGCAGCAGTATCGGACAGGATCGCATGGCTGCTGCTCGTCGTTCTCTGCAAGCTGGATCACAAGGCGGAGTTCTACAAGGAAGTAGCTCTCTCCTACCTCTTCTTGGCGAACAATGTCCAGTATGTGGTAAACGAAGTGAAGAGAAGTGGTCTTAAGATTATTTTAGGAGCGAGGTGGGCAGAGATGCATGAGGACACGGCGAGGCGATACTCGGAAAGATATGTGAGGCTTGGACCGCTTGGTTGGGGAAAGGCGGCGGCGGCGTTTGAGGAGGCGGCGGCTGCCCAGGAGGGAAGGCTGGTGGAAGATGAGAGGATGAGGGAGGACGTGAAGACTGAGGTAGAGGAAATGATTTTGCCGGCGTACCAAGGATTATATGAAAGCTTGACGGCTGCGCGCGGTGGTGGAATGGTGGAGCCGGCGGCGGCGTCGGTTCGGTTCTCACCGAAGGGCTCACGAGATCGGATCGAGCAGGTTTTTGTTGAACCGCTTGGTTCAGAGTCGTCCGGTTCGGTGAACTGGTCGTTTAGTACAAGCTCCTAAATTTTTTTCTGGGTGCTTGTTTATACTTTGGGGATTTACACATATGCCAATAACTTTTACATAATTACGTATTTAATATTTAAAAAATTTATATTTATCTATTATATACGGAACAAATTTTAAGAAGAAGCTTGATCAACCCTATTGGTTGAGAGCTTAGGCTTCCAACTAAGAGGTCCAAGGTTCGAGTTCATGTGCATGCGTTGTGTGTGTGAGTTTGCCTTAAATGGCCTAAATGTCCCAAAAAAAAAAAAGTTTTGATACATCATCACAAAATTAGCTTGATCAGCCATATATTTCTCTACCGCCGCGAATATTCCAGGACGCAACAAGTTTAAATTATGTAAAGGAGCAAAATTTTATAAAAAATTAAAAAGAAGCAAACTAGTCAAATTATTTAGTACTTTTCATTAATAAAAATATTAAATAGTTTGACTAATTCTAAAATTAGCCAAACTATTTCGCTAATTCTGAATACACCAAATAGTTTGACTAATTCTATATAATACTGATATTTTTACTAAACATCATTAGAAATGTTATTAGCTAATTAAGAATGCATTAAAATTTTTGAAATTAGGTTAACGATGACATGTTAATGTACGATGAACAAGATCGTATAAGGATCCTATGGTCTGAATGAGATTTTTTGACATAGGAATTTAATACCCAGATTAACTGCATCTTAATTGATTTTTACAAAGGAATCCAGTGTTCACAGCAAATACATATTAAAATAAGATTATACTAATTAAGTTAAAAATATAATAAATTATTCATTAAATAATGACAAATATTTTTTCTTTATTAGTTATTTCGAATTTATTACAAAATTTGCATAATTTTAAAATGAAAATTGATAATTTTATAAGATAAAAAGATACGCTCCTAATATTTTTGACTTTAAAAATAAAACCTACCTGATTTAAATAGTATTTTCTTTAAAAATATCTTAACATTAGTTAATCTGTGAGCTTATCGCTCGTTAACCTATTTTTAAAATTTTAATGCATCATTAATCAACTAATGATATTGCTAATGATGCTTAGTGAAAATATGAGTATTCAACAGAATTAGCTAAACTTTGGCTAATTCTATAAAAAACACCAAATAGTTGGCACTTTTAGAATTAGCCAAACTATTTAACGTTTTCAATGAAAAATACTAATTAGTTTGACTAATTTGCTTCTTTTAAAATTTTTATAAATTTTTTTTCTTTCACATAATTTAAACTTTGGCTATGCTTCTTTTTAAAATTTGTTCTTCTATATAACATACTATTCGAATGTCTTAAGAATATATATATGATGGTATAACATACATTTATATACTTTCTTATATTCCTTCAATTATAATTATTTTTTAAAAAAATTAGAGAAAAATATTACACTAAATACTTATCCTAAGTAAATAAATTTAAAATCATAAAATAAAACTTGCATCAATATAAGAAAATGTGGATAATAATAGATATTTTGCCTAACAAAATTTGATAATTGTTGAAGAATTTCATGAACAACAACTCTAATGGATTATGAATCCTTGTGAACTTTATAAAATTTTGGGAAAAAAAAATTTCTTACTCTTCTTTTCTCTCTCTAGCTTTTTTCTTCTTTTCAACAACTACAATCCTAAGTAATCTCTTTCTACCTCATCTCAACATTATTCTTCCTTCATAAAAATTATTTTTTACATGAAGAAAATATATGTTTTTCTCTTATTTATAGGTGAAGTTGAGTTTATGCATGAAACACCCTTGGTTTGGAGATATGAGAAGTGACAAAGAAAAATGAACGAGTCCGGAGACTAAGCATGCATGAATTCCTACAAATTTTGGAGATATTTACATGAATTAAATATTTAAGAAATTTTGCAAGATGACTTTCATGCATGATGACATTTTTTGGAGAAGACTTTAGACTTGTGTGTCATACATGTAATTTTTATGATATGATGGTTTTTTTTTAAATGGTATGATAAGTTCATTAAAATTATAAAATATTATCTATATCAAATATGTGAAATAGAAGATGTAGTATAATTATACTATGTATAAAAATTTTAATTTTTAAATATGACTTAAGTATTATTAAAATTATAAAATTTTTATGTTAATATTCATTTCAAAATATTTGATAATAAATAGGTTAAAAATAACTAAATTACTTATTTTTTTTCTCACAAAGCCATAAAATATTATATGCAATTTCTTAGAAATCAATATATACTTTACATACTTTTATCTTTTTAATTATTACTTTATTTAAACAAATAATTTAGTTGCGCATTAAAATGAAAAAAAAAATTATTAAATTATAACTTTAACTTCAGAGTAAAAATATTACACTTACTAAATGAGTGTTATTAAAAATTAATAATATCAAATTCATTATTTTTCAAATATATAATTTTAATTTATTTTATTAAATTCAGAGTATTACATCCTCTCCACCTTACGAAATATCAAATTCATTATTTTTCAAATATAGCTTTTATGCCGACTGTGGGCTATTATAAGTTGATTTTTAATTTGCTTAATATTTTCTATAGTAACAGTGATTAGGAATGTTCCTCAAGGATGAATGTTGTAGCCTGCTGTGTGAGCTTCTCCTAAAATTTCCTTTCTAATTTCCATATGATTAGGAAATATTACAGAATCTATCTGTCAATTTTAAAATTCCATCACTATTTTTTTTTATAAATTCCATTACTATAAACCACAAAAATCTTTCATCTTCCTTTCTTTGATAAGCTTGTGTGAATGGTGGTGAAGCCTGTTGATGAGGCGCAGGTTGCGAGCGATCTTCCCGATCTTGGGGATCGGCCGTTGCCTGTGTGCGGAAATTCGGAGATTTTGGAGTCTTTAGTCACTTCTAACCCATCTGTTTTGAATGTGGTTGATGTGGTTAATGCTATTTAGTTGCGCATTAAAATGAAAAAAAAAATATTAAATTATAACTTTAACTTCAGAGTAAAAATATTACACTTACTAAATGAGTGTTATTAAAAATTAATAATATCAAATTCATTATTTTTCAAATATATAATTTTAATTTATTTTATTAAATTCAGAGTATTACATCCTCTCCACCTTACGAAATATCAAATTCATTATTTTTCAAATATAGCTTTTATGCCGACTGTGGGCTATTATAAGTTGATTTTTAATTTGCTTAATATTTTCTATAGTAACAGTGATTAGGAATGTTCCTCAAGGGTGAATGTTGTAGCCTGCTGTGTGAGCTTCTCCTAAAATTTCCTTTCTAATTTCCATATGATTAGGAAATACAGCATCTATCAGTCAATTTTAAAATTCCATCACTATTAAGTATTAACCACAAAAATCTTTCATCTTCCTTTCTTTGATAAGCTTGTGTGAATGGTGGTGCTGCATGATTGATGTCATCTCTAAAATGTTGTTGGAACTGTAAAGAGAGAGCTCCATTATATTGTGATGGTACTCTACGTTGTCCAATCTCCTCCAATAATTAAAGGATTTGACTTTGAAGTTTCTCCATCCTAGACATACGACCCTCTAAACTGAAGCAACGAGGGACTTAATCATTGATATTTTTTTTTTTTTTTGATTGAGAGATTGATTGTTGGCCATTGAAGAAGTATGTTTGAAATATTGTTCACAAATGGCACAATAAATTAATTCTTTTTTAAAATAGTAATAAAATAAATTTTAAAAAAAGCTCCAATCAGCATGTTGACTTCAATAAACTTTTCAATTATGATTAAAGGCAACTTACTTGACTCTTTATCCTAAAGGGAGGTCTACATTGACGTCCAGAAGGTGGTCTCACCTCTTAATTATAATTTTTAGTAACAAGCAACTTTAATGGTTCAAACATATATCTTTTAACTCCGGAAGCTTCGACATCTAAAAATAGATAGTAAATTAAATTGTCACCTAAAAATCATCTTTTTGGGGCATGAATATCAATGCAAAAATGAGTTGGAAAGTTCTTAAATTTAATTTGAGACCATCCAAACTCTGATTTTAGCGAACTTATAGCCAAATTGAACATCATAGGAAGACGAACCCAATTAATGACACCAAATTCAATCCAATTCAGCCTAAATGACCCCCAAATCAAAAGACCAAAATATACTTAAAAGATTCAAAGCATCATTTGGATGACCAATTGATATATGAATATGACATGCTTATAATCAAATCAAACTCTTCGACGAGACGAATCCAACTTGCCTAAGATTGCTTAATTTCGACATCATTATGCCATTTAATGCTTGAATTGAAGAATACATCATGATAGAGGGAATTGTTATCATCCGTCCAATGGAATACTCTAAACTTGCTATAGAATCTATCCATATTTATTATTAGACATGACACTCTCAAAAAGCTATAAATAGACTCTCATTTTTCACATAAAGAAGGAAGCAGGGAGAGAGGAGAAAACTAATGAGCTCTCTAACATTCTGCATCAACACTTCCACGGCTGGATCTGTTCCCAACCATCGGCCGTCACCAAACTTTTGCCTTTTTGTTGACCGCCGCCGGATCTCTTCTCGACCACCAACCATTGTCAGACTTTCTTATGTTCATTGGCCACCTCTGGGTCTCTAAATAATGTCGGACTTCCGCCCGTCTACTAATTATCACTAGATCTCTAACCATCATCAAACCTCTGCTGAACATTCTCTCGATTGTTGCCACTAGAGTTCCAATATCTGTCATTCATTTAAGATTATGAGTACCCAACTGAAGTTTGGTCAATTCTCCAATATATTATATTCTCACAATCATTGAGTTGAGGGACATGACAACCTTTGTAACATATTCAAACATAAGTGAAATCATTTCAACTAGGCAAGACCATATCATTTTTTTTCCCTTTTCAAGATCTTTCACGTAAAAATTTTGATGTTTCTCTATCATTTTAATTATCTATTTAAGTGCTGAATTTTCGTACATCTCTAAGACATAAAACATTTCCACTTTACCTCCGCAAATCTCTCAGCCCGCTACAGAAATGAAATAGATAATTCTTTTAAATTGGGTCATAGGGCATCACATCATTTGAACATTTAAACGCTTCAATCATGTAGTATGATAATGGTTAGATTAGAA